TAGTGAGAACAATTACAGCAATGCTACGAAGGGCGTGAGGGGGCGAGGACCTCAGAGGTATCAGCCAACTTTTAGGAACAATAATGAGGCACCTCGTGGTCAAAGCAAACAGTGAGTAAAAACCAACCTTTGTTCTTATTCTTTCTTTTTTTCTGGGTGGGGAAGGCTCATCAAGTTTCTTCACTTACATTTATCCTTTCATTTGCTCCTTTAGATTTGGAAAATCTATCGAAAAACCTTCACATGTTAGCTCTGGGAGAACTGGCATACCAGTGTCAAAAGTAGAACCTGATGCAAATCCACCTAGGAAACAAGTGTTTCCATCAAACTTGAGCATTACTTCTCCTCCATTTTATCCCTCTGGTTCTTCCACAAAAGAGACCACTTTGTCACATAGGAGGGATGTCCAAGCTGGTACAACTAGTCAGAATGTTCAATCATCTGCCTCTGGTGAGAGTTTTCCGATTGCTCAATCTGCCACATTGCTGCAGGGAAAGGATATAGTGGATTCTATTGGCATGAATAAGCTTTATATTGATGGTTCACTTTCTACAGTGGCTGGGAAGCCTTTCAACACCGTGCAAATGCTGCCTTCTTCTTCATCAATTAACTCTACTCAGCCTCTGCCTTTGCCTCTGCGTGGTCAAGGGAGAGGGGGGAATTCTTCGGCACAAATGACGTACAAGCCAGTTGTCTCTAATAATCAAGTCAACAGGGGTTCTCCACCAACCCAGCAACAAACTTTTCAGAGAAATCCTGTTCAAAGTCGGCCTCAATCTTCTTTTCATTCTTCTGATCAGCAGTTTGTTCCGCGTCTTGATGGTGGATCACACACTTCTCCACCAAAAGCAGTACCTATAGATTCATTTGAACCTGTAGAGCTGGAATCTTCTTCAGACTCGAGTAAATCCAAGACTGCATTGGTTACTAAAGGAAAAGGCAGTGTTCAAGTTGGCGGAAGGGGCCCCTTTCTATATAGTGGAGCTCAGGTTATGGGGGCCCCTGGAAATGTAGGCAGTGGTAATGGTGATCAAAATTTCCCTGCTTTCTTGCCAGGTAAGTCAGTAGAGAGTATCTTACAAAGAAAGTGCCACCATCACAATTCACTCACCGAGCCTAATTTTCATTAGGGTTGCCTTTTGTAGTTATGACTCTTGCACCTTTTGCAAGTTCACTATAATTACTTCGTAGTGAGTGGTCTGTGGCTCATGTCTTTACTTGAAAAAATGATCATTGCTGTTTGGTGGATTTCTCAGTTATGCAATTTGGAGGCCAGCACCCTGGTGGTATTGGAGTTCCTGCTGTTGGCATGGCGTACCCTGGATATGTAGCTCAACCACAACTTGGTTTAGGGAATTCTGAAATGACTTGGTAATTTTTGTATAACTATTCAACCTTCCACACCACACAGATGTTTGTATCATCAAGTCCAAATGGTGACGAAACCTCCTATGCAAACTTGATCTGTCTGCTTCATATGGGACCAAATTTATTTTATATCCTTGTTCTTCTTTGTCGATGTAATACTTTCTTAATGACATTCAGGTTACCTGTTTTAGCTGGTGCTGCTGGGGCTCTAGGGACAAAATTTGGTTCACCGTATCTCTCTCTTGATGGTTCATATAATGCTCATCCATCTGGACAGACATCCTCTGTACCAGCTGCCTCAAGGTCGGTAGGAGTTGCCACTTTGCTATCCATTTTTTCCTGTTTGCTTGCTTACACTTTTCAGTTGAGATACACTAAAATACTCGTTTAGATGGTTTTTTTCCTTCTCTCTGTATTTCTGCATCCAATTTTGTTTCTAGTACCTGCATTTTTTTTACCTTGCTTGTCTTGTAGTGAAAGGATTATGGTTGTTTGCTCTTCCCAATTATGTGGAAGTAAATAGTGAATTTTGTTATTTGATGCAGCAAAGAAAACAATGCAACTAATGTTGATAATGATGGGAAGCCCATACATAGGCCTGGTAAGATATATCCAACTTCTTTTTTCCCGTGCAATTATTACACTTCGTTTTTCCCTTATGTAGCTGAATAGTTATTGCTGCAGAGATTGCAAATGATGACTTTGGGCAGCGGCAGAAGAATCCTCGCAGGCAAGTTGATCTTTCTTTTGCATGTTTAGGAGAGATCACATTTTGTACTTCACCATTTTCCTATTTTTTCTGAAGATTTACCAGTAACTTCTTTCTAATGCAATGTAAGTTGTCTCATTACAATATTAAGTTTTTGTTTAATGCTCTGTGCAGATATACAGAGATGAAGTTTGACCAGTGAAATAATTAGTTAGGTGAAACCTGTTTGAATAAGCAGATTAAGCCTAATTTCACAGTCAAAATCTCTTCCATCTGTTGGGTGTTGCAGAGTTTCTTAGTGCTTTTGGTGCTGCAGGCCTTTCTCCAAGCATTTTGTGTTGTCCAGTTTTGATCTGGAGCACTTTGGGCCGCATATATTGAGATTACTTAGGTAATGGCTCTTTTCTTGCTTGGTTCTGTAGACTGATCTAAGTAAAATGAAACCTATGTGCATATTCCCTCTTCCAATGGTCTTGGATCCTTCTCGTGTAGTTTTACATTCATTTTTTCACCGATCTTGATAAACTCAGGGATTGTTTTTGAATTCAAGCTGTGCAACCATCCTTTCTGAATACAAATGAAAAGGATTATGTTGAAGAATAACAAATGGCCAAGTTAATGTAGTTAAACAAAGTGATAATTTACAAACCATTCTGTTGTTTATACAATTTATTGTCGGTTTATGGTACTTATGAATTTGGGATGTAAACTGTTAGCCCATATGATTTCATCATTTCTCGATTTCTGCAATGGGAACTGCATTGGAATAATAGGACTTTTTTGATTGAATAGTGGAGAGGACAAATAAAACCATTTAATATTAGGTTGAAATTTTATGGTTTTTGGTTTGCTTCTTTTTTTGCATGTTCTCAAAATTGCATCACAAATGAGATTTTATTCCAAATGTGAGATTCTACATTAAACCTTTTCCTTCTGAGATACTGCTATTTATTTCAGTATGTCTCGGGTTTTTGTACTTGTTATCCTCCATTCTCTTTTCTGACTTTGTTGGCCAGGTATATAAAAACAACTGATCATTCTGCATAATGATAGCTACTTTCTATCTTTTCTTCCGGAGCACATAAGATCTGTATCAATTTGCTCAAGTTTGTGTATTTATCATCTCCTTCTATTTTCTGGTTTTACTGTCCCAGGTAGATTGCAAAACGCCTAGTCGTGCTGCTTAAATAAAATAAGAGTGCAGGTATCTTGGGTGGCAGTTCCCTGTTCTTATATGCTGTAAGGGCATCAGAAAACTGAGGAATCTTTGTTTATCGACACTAACATTTCAAGTTGGACATATGCATGACTCGTCCTTATTTTCAAATGCAGATTCTTGCCCGTTACTTTTTTTAGTGAAGCTTGCAAGAATTGTCATTTGGCTTCAAAAATAATGGAAAAACCAAGAATTGTTGTGCAGCAACTGTGCTTCTTTGGTGAAATAAGTTATTTTGTTCGCTCATATAAATGGTAGCAGAGTTTCCTTGCATTCCGTTCGTTTGTATTGCCTACTTCCAGGAGGTTTTGAAAGAACTTGCATTTTCTGGATTTTAATAGAAACGGAGCTTACTCAATCCTGAACTTTGTGGATTGATTGTAAAGATTGCTGTTATTAGATCATGCATTGATGTTGAAAACAAACCTTGCTTGTGAACTACACTATATTTGAGTATTTGACTATTCATCATTCATGTGTTTTCTTTGTTTATTTGGTTCTCGAGTTTGATACATGTTGGTTGTTTGCCTTGAACTTTGTCATAGTTTGGTCACTCCGTCCATTTTAAGCTTCTGTTTGTTTCCTCTTAAAACGAAACTCTTTAATTCTCATATCCATTTTCAATTACATATTCACACGATAACATATTCAGCATGTAAATTCGAATTTTTTTTCTATCTTTTAACTACTCATAATTCAAAACATCACCATTCTAAATATCAGTTTTTTCACAATAATACCATCAAACAGGGGCTAATTACTAATGTTAAATTTGGCGCGCAGCTAAACGTGAAATTCTGCTTGCCCCATCGGGCGAGTCAGCCCATGCTCACTTTGTAACATTTAGCCTCAAGTTAGGGCAAGCCGAGCCGCTTGGGGCTTGTTAATTATTTTCTCTTCTTTATTTTTCTTTCCATTCCCGGACAAGCTGCATGAGCGGTTCTCGCACGAGAAAAGCTCTTGGGCTGTTTGGCATGTCTTTTAAAAAGTCAAAAGATGCTTTTGAGGTCCAAAAGTTGTTTTTGAATCCGTTTGACTAATTTTATAAAAATGTTTCTTCTAATTAGAATAATTTTAAAAGGAAGCTGATTCAATAGTTTTTTTAAAAAGCACTTTTGAAATATGAAGTTTTTTTTTTATTTGTAAAAGAATAGTTTTCAAATAAAAATTAAATTGGCTTCCTCCAAAAACTCTTCTAAACCAAAAGCAAAAGTCTTGTCAAATGGACTCTTAATCCGATTTGTCTGTGAGGCGGTCCACTAATAGCTCATCCCATTTAACATTTTTACTTGTAACTAACAAACAGTGATGTGTAATAACTTTCTTAGAACAACTAAACAAGAAAAATACAAAAGTTGGATAATATTCCAATAGTTTGATATGAAACCTATGCTAGAATTAGAAGTGCATGGAATGCTCAACCTGAATTAGTTTGATTGAGATAACCTTTGCTTTTGCTCTCTATAGAAGACCCTTTGAATGAAGTTATATCAATTTTTATTTAAAAACTAATTTTTAAAAGAACTTTCCATTCCGAAATTGTTTTTAGAGGAAACCATATTGAATGAACTTCCTTTAAAAGTTATTCTACTTGTCAAAAAATACTTTCATAAAATTAGTCAAATGGGTTCAAAAGTAACTCTTAAACTCAAAATGTTATTTTAACTTTTCAAAAGTCACGTCAAAACACCTTTTATCTTAACTAGATTACAAGGTACTAGGAAGCACATCAAATATGAAAGCAAGTTCTGTATCACATGTACAAGCTTCACACGACATATCTTCTTCCTCGATCTTAGTTGCAGGCCAACCTTGTTTCTTCGCATGCTGATCTTTCCGGGTACAGCATATCGGCCGATGATTTATAATAAGAGAATTCTTTATCCAAATCATCCTCAATATTTCGATGAGAAATCTGCGGCAATGCTTCACCTTTTTTCTGAAGACTCTTGATTTCTTCATATCACTTAATACAGTTATTCCCTTCTGTTTCTGTTCATCGTCGCCAAATAGAAAGATTATACTGATCACATAAACTGCTCCGACGTGTCCTAACCTTGCAGCAGTCGTCAAGTACTCCGAAGCCGATTCCGTCCGGTTCCGACTAAAGTAATCAACCTGTAACGAATAAATATAGTTAAATTTTTGCAATCAAGAACTCGAAAATCGACCTAATGAATTTTGTTTTAAAACGTACCACTCCTTTTCTATATAGGAATTCTGGATTTCTACATTCCCAGCACTTATTCAAGAAAGTCTTTTCCTCTTCAGTTTGAGACTTCCATTGCACAACTGGAAACTTAGCGAGAGATGCGTGTCGATATACGTAAGAATCCTCAGCTATTTCCTTCAATACTTTGCAGCTGCAAAAAAAAAGTAAATTAAAAGTTACAAACGGACGCATTGGCTACACATTGTTATGGTAACAAATAATCAGATTTGGTAACATACCTCAACTTGACATTCGTTATATCTGTTAGCGAATCCGTCGCTACTAGAGCCAAAATTTCACTAGCAATTTCTCTCGGGATAGTCTCGATTGTTGTGACGACGCGGTTTGTGTTCTTGCACATAGTTTTACGTGTACTACGTCTTCTCATCCTTCTCGATTGGCCTTCGACGAATTCCCGAAGCTAAATGCAGAATCTGTACAACGATTTTTTTTATGGGTGGTGTTTGAAGATATATATAGGAGAAGTTTTTGCGTGTACCAATCCTTGAAGGACAAGGAAAGAGGTGTTTAAGATTACTTTTGGTAGGAATGGAATGTTACCATATTTGATCATAGTTTGGCATTCAAAATAAGTACTTATTTTGTCTCCCTTTATACGTGTACGGTATATGATGCAACAGATATAAATACTTGCCAATTTAGAATTTTGGCAAGTCGAGTGATTCACTATATTTATATTTTTAAAAAATAATTATAGGGTATGATTAAGACATGTCATTCAGACGAGAAGTAGTGTTTTTCAATGACGAACGAGTGACTAATAAATTGACAAAGGTTAAGGGTTATTCTTTTTGTGTTTCAGTTTTGCGTTTTGAGTTTTGAATTTATTTTGTGTTTTCTGCTTTGAGTGTTCATTTTAAGATTGTTGAAAATATGTTCTTTTTGGCATTTTAAAATATTGTTTTGAAAACACTCAAAACGCGTTTTGACTTGATTATAACTGAAAACACCCAAAACGACAAATTTGTCGTTTTGAGTTTTCTTTGTAAATTTTTAATTTGTTTTCAAAAACGGGTTTTCGAAAATAGGAAATAGAACGTGTTTTCACTATTTTGGAAAATCGAAAATAGAAAACGGTGTGAAAATGGAAAAGAGAACAGACCCTAAAATTTTCGATCCTTTGTAGGAATTGGTACAGTGTGCTGGTTCGATTTTTGGCCCAACCCATACTCGAATAGAAGATTTAGGTTTCTTGAATATCCAATCTAAACTAACCTAAATATGGATCTAAAATCGAACTAACCCAAATCCTACATGCTTCAATCGATTCGATTGAAATGAAGATTTTTAGGCTTTTGACAATGTATTTGTTAAAAAGGAAATTTGCAAAAGAGGTTTCACACATTTCAAAAAATGTGTCGTTGGGGGTCCCTAACCATATAATCACCAATTTAGAATTTTGGCAAGTCGAGTGATTCACTATATTTATATTTTTAAAAAATAATTACAGGGTATGATTAAGACATGTCATTCAGACGAGAAGTAGTGTTTTTCAATGACGAACGAGTGACTAATAAATTGACAAAGGTTAAGGGTCATTCTTTTTGTGTTTCAGTTTTGCGTTTTGAATTTATTTTGTGTTTTCTGCTTTGAGTGTTCATTTTAAGATTGTTGAAAATATGTTTTTTTTTGGCATTTTAAAATATTGTTTTGAAAACACTCAAAACGCGTTTTGAAAATTTTGACTGGATTATAACTGAAAACACCCAAAACGACAAATTTGTCGTTTTGAGTTTTCTTTGTAAATTTTTAACTTGTTTTCAAAAATAAGTTTTCGAAAATAGGAAAGAGAACGCGTTTTCACTGTTTTGGAAAATCGAAAACAGAAAACGACTTGAAAATGGTAAAGAGAACAGACCCTAAAATTTTGGATTCTTTGTAGGAATTGGTACAGTGTGTTGGTTCGATTTTTGACTCGACCCATACTCGAATAGAAGATTTAGGTTTCTTGAATATCCAATCTAAACTAACCTAAATATGGATCTAAAATCGAACTAACCCAAATCCTACATGCTTCAATCGATTCGATTGGATTAATCAGTTTGGTTTGGACGCAATTGAGATTGAAATGAAGATTTTTATAGGCTTTTGACAATGTATTTGTTAAAAAGGAAATTTGCAAAAGAGGTTTCACACATTTCAAAAAATGTGTCGTTGGGGGTCCCTAACCATATAATCTTTAGTAGATACATTCCAAATCTTTAACAAAGAAAATTACAATTAAGGCAATATTTGGATATAAAATATTTATTTGTACTGAGAGATTCCCTCAAGAGTGCTACCTAATTAATTGAAAATTGAGGCAAGTGCCAAGTCCCAAATAAAAATTAATAAAGTGAAATTACGGTTTAAATTCACCAATGGTGATTAAACTTTATACTTAGTGTCATCATGATCATCAAATTTAATTTGTATTACCATGGCCATCCAACTTTATATTTAGTGTTAGCATAGTCACCAAATTTTATTTTATTTCATCATAGTCACCCAATTTCATATAATGTTGCCACGTAATTTTATATAACATTTCACAATGACCACCCAATTTCTTTTTACTATTTTCACTAATTTTAAAAGGTGTAAAACAATAACTTTGTATTATATATAATAATTTAAAAAAAAATAGAAGTTTTTTTTAAAAATTTTAAAAAAGTTTATTTTAAAATAAGTTTTTTTATTTTAATTTTTTAAGGAATTTCTTTTTTAAAATAACCTTTTATTTTATTTTTCTAAATAACTTTTT